TACATTATCTTCTTAACATCACAACCAATGAGAAAACTGGAGATCAGAGAAGTGACTTGCCCAGGTTTATTTAGGAATTTGAAACCAGCTCCATCCGACTCTAGAAACCATGTTCTGTCCAAGACACCACATGCCTTAGGAAAAAGCTTGGCAAAGAGTGTGTGCTCGGTTAAATAACAGTTGAAGGAATGAACAAAGGTTTCATAGAGAAAGTGGCACTTAATCTGGTCTTTTGAGATCAGACAGCCTATGGAGGGAGCCCAAAGACAAACCAGGAGAAACAAGGAGCTTGAACAAAAAGTTTGAGGGTAAGACAGGGTGAGGAGCTGTTCAGGCACATTGAGCACACTGTCTTGGCTGGAGATTAGGGTGCTGAAGGAGAGTATTGAGAGATAAGGTTTGCAAGGGCTGGAATGTGAAAGGTCATGACTGCTAGGTTAAGGAATTTGGGCTTCATCATGGGGAAGAGGGGTGCATTAAGCCAGAGTAACATGGTCAGAACATTACTTTAGGAAGGTTATTCCCGGGTGCCGGTTACCAGATGGATTTGCTGCAATAGTCCCAGTGAATTGTTCCCTCAAAAGCAGTCTATTCTCTCTCAACCTCTGGGAGGTTGAGGTTAAAACCTGCCCTGCCAGAAATGTTCACACGAGAGCCACTAGGTGGCAGCAGTGATCCAAAGAAGGATGAGCCAGGCTACCAACTAGCAACTTCGCAGTCAACTCCTTGGGCTGTGATTAGGTATGATCACCTGGTGGAAAACAGGAGTAGGTAGGAGGGCATTCCTTGTGGAAGGAACCTCAAAGGCCCAGAGAGGGAAAGGAGTATGCAGAGGTCAGAGGACAGAGCAGATCAACAGCTGGAGGATATGGTTGAGATGGGATGGGAGGCACTGGTGAGAGATGAGGCTGCATCGGACAGGTAGAGCCTGATCACAAACGGCCTTCAACTTCCAGGCTAAGGAAGCTGGAAAGAATCCTGAGGGAAATGGGATCCAGAGACAGTTTTTAAGTAGGTGAGAGACATAATCAAACTTGCATTTTAGAATGATCACCAAGATTGCAGCGTGGAGAATGAGGGGAAAGAGACAGGAAGCAGAGAGAACAATGAGGAGGCTGTTGCAGTGATCCTGGGAGAGATGATGAGTGGCCTGCACTAAGGCCAGCAATTGCACGGACAGATGTGTAGGAGACTTAAGAAATAAAACTGCTAACCAAAAGGTTGGAGGTTCAAGTCCACCCAGAGGTGCCTCAGAAGAGAGGACTGGTGATCTATTTCCAAAAAGTCAGCTATTGAAAACTCCATGAAGCACAGTTCTACTCAGACACACAGGGGGTCACCATGAGTCAGAATTGAGTCAAGGGCAACTGGTAACCGGTAGCATGAGAAAACAAAACGTAACAGAAACAGTTGCCTTGGAGTCACTTCTGACTCACGGTGACCCCATGTGTGTCAGAGTAGAACTGTGCCCTACTGGCTGATTTTTTCAGAGGAGCCCACAGCCTTCCTCTTGCGGCCTCAGTGCAAAGGAGACTAGAACCTGGCAGTCTTCTGAGGCACCTCCGGGTGGGCTCAAACCTCCAACCTTTTGCTTAGCAGCCGAGCTCATAAACTTGTTTGTACTATCCAGGGACTCCAAGTACATGAGAAAGGAAGCAATAAAAAGTAGGGTTTTCATTTTCTTGTTTTCAAAATTATGGTAAGTATATATAAAAACCCCATTGCATGGAGTCAATTCTGACTCATAGCAACCCTACAGGACAGGGTAGAACTGCCCCACAGGGTTTCCAAGGCCGTAAATCTTTACAAAGCAGACGGCCACAGCTTTCTCCTGTGAAATGGCTGGTGGGTTCCAAACCGTTGACCTTTCAGTTTGCAGCGAAGTGCTTAACCACTGCACCACCAGAGCTCCTAGACATGTGTGACAAAACATTTGCCATTTTAACATTTTTTACATGTACAATTCTAAAAGAGTAGTTCTGACAGAAGGAAATGAGTAATTCTTTCCCTATTACTGAATACACAGTCTGAATTCTTGGATTTTCTGTACTGGAAGATTGCAGAACTTCTTTGAGTCTAAATTCCAGTTCATTCTTTCAACAATCCTGACCAGTCTGTGGCGAGAACTGGGGACAAAGGAATGACTTACCACCTATTCTTCAAGCAGTTGCCTCCCCAAGTCTAGTGGAAAAACGGTCAATTCCTCTGCAGTTGGGAGCGCTATGAGGGAGGAAAATACGTTGTCGGCAGTTCGAATCCACTAGCCACTCCTTGGAAACCCTATGCGGGTAGTTCTACTCTGTCCTACAGGGTCGCTATGAGTCGGAATTGACTCCGACGGCAACAGGTTTGGTTTGGTTTTTTTTTTTTTTTTGGTGGAGTCCACAGGGGAAACCTGA